TCATTTTCTCTGTGAACTCAGTCTTTGTTTGATCTTTAAAATATGAGAAAACTGCTAAATTATCACAATTTTCCTAAGCGCATTGTGAGGTCATAAACTGTTTTTTGCCAGAGATATTCAGTTTACTGTAATAGAAGACAAGGTGAAGCAAGTCCACACATTTGAGAAGCTTGTACCATCAAATGTTTTGCAAGTTTGCTTTAAATATACTGATCAATTATCAAAATTGTTCCAGATTAATCTTTCTATATCGATTAATTGGTGAATCGTTGCAGCTCTTGATTCTGTATTTGTCATTAAACTAGAGTGGACTTACAGTTTGTGTGGATAGTATTGGCTGTGTCTCATTATCACTGGCTTGAGCGTTTCATGTCAGTAGATGTAGGATTTATAAAGTTGTATCGAGACATCTAAATCCTTGAGTGGATCCCTGGATTGTACATGATTTAAACTGTAATATTGATGGGAACAGTTTGGCAGATGTTGAAATCATTGACCCAGGCTTATACATAATGCAGTTGGCTCTGCTGTAGGTTCCTGCTCCATTTTTGCTCTGATTGTGTAATACAAGATCGCACAGACTATTTACAGTTTGGGTAAAAAAGTCAGGTTGGATCAGTGTTTCTGAAGAGAAAGGAAGCTTGTTGATTCCTCGGACGTCCAGCCTAGAAGGCCCCTGTTCTTTGGACAACTGTGTGTACAAACACATGGGTGGATAAATGACTGTGTCAGGAAGTGTGTGCACGTGCATGTCCGTGTATATGATGGTGGTGGCATTTGTCTGTGTGTGTGTGTGTGTGTGTGTAGAGGGTGAAGGGACGGGTGTCCACAGCACCTTAGTGGAAACTTGGCTACGAGCCGACCGTTGCCCATGAGGGCTTGTAAACACGCTGCGATGGATCTTACTCTGCACACAAGTGCCAAACACAATGTAAACTTGTTTCCATCACTCCATTCAGCTGCTCGCTCTTCTTTTTCCCTTCTGTTCCTTCGTCTTTAAACTCTGAATCACTCTGTATTTCATGTATAATTATGTCTGGAATAATGTATAGATGATCCAACATTTGATGGCTCAATCTGCTTTTTGAGTCTCATTACAATTCCTGCCAAAGTGTCTCAATTCCTGCCAGAGTGTGATCAAACAGATGGCTGCTCTTGATGTATAGTTATATTTAAAGGAGCTATGTACGACATGCAGAGTCTGAGCCAGGATTGCTTGCACATGGTTTCACCTCTGACGTCACAGGCAAGCAGGTAGGTGGCTGGGATGAAATGACGCCGGCTAGCAGTGAAGCCTGGCTGATAGTGCTAACAGTGCTAACAACGATAACAGTGCTGACAGAGCTAACGCTGTTAACCTGCCACAGTGGGTCAGGACAGCATTATCAGCTGTAACTGAGCTTAGTGCAGAGTGACCGGGATTAGCTAGCCTGTGGGGCATATGGAGAGGACTTATATGTGCTAATGTGCTGGATCGGCCGGGGCAGCTACCAAAACATAGAACAGTGAAGCCTGGATTACAACGCACACTAGGAAGCGTGCAGGCCCCCCAGCAGAAGTGGCTGGGCCCCTGAAAACATGCAGTGAACAGGCCCTCCCTAAATTTGCTTTACTCATGTCAACCAAGCAGCAACCTCCGGCCGGGAAAGGTAGCCAATGCAAAAGTGCCAAAAACTACAGTTCAGTGAATGGCCACTTGAGGCTGGATCCAAAACAGAATAAATTTTGAAAGCTGAAATGCCAAACTCAAGGCTGTGACTCAGATGTAGAGCGGGTCGTCCACCAATCGGAAAATCGGCAGTTCGATCTCCGGCACCTCCAGTCTGCATGTCGAAGTATCCTTGAGCTAAATACTAAACCCCAAATTGCTCTCAATGGCTGTTCCACTGGTGTGTGAATGTTCTAAAAACTGAGTAGCAGATGGCACCTTGTATGGTAGCCTCGGCCACCAGTGACTAGAAAGTGACCAGAAAGGCACTATACAAGTGCAGTTCCATTTACCATTTACCAAAACAGCAGTACACAAACGAATGGGTGACGTCACGGAAGCTATGTCTACGATATCAACACATACACGTAAACAGTGATGCCAGCAGCCTCTTGGCTAGTAACATTAGCTGTAATGTTAACTTCCTGACTGTTGTTTGTCTCTTCAGCATGGCTGGGAGCAGCTGTCTGAGCTGACTGAAAAAAGTTAGTACATTATCATTTGGGTATAAAGCCCTGTTCAGCTCCCTCTATTTCTTTTACTGTCTTTTCTGGTATCCTGATTTAACGATTCACTCCATCATGAGCAAATAGTTAGTTTAGATTAGTAACTTTTTCAGGTTATGTGGCTGGCTGCCTACTATCATCAGGGGGGGTCATTATTAAACAGGTTGCATTTTACTCAAGCAACAATAAATACATTGTTTATTTTTGTTGTTTTAATAAGCAATGTTGAATATTTTGGTACAAAATAAATGTGGCTATCATTGTTTATATTTAGGATGAACATGATTATTGGTGACTTTCATGGGCCCCCCATAGTGACTGGGCCCCCAACAGCTCCCCATTTTGGGAGGCCCTGGGAGCGTGACTTCATTCTCTGCTCAGGATGCCGTGATGCCATTATATCTTTACATAGCAAATAGCTGTTAGCTGCTATATTAAGGTTCAAATTCGCATATAGAACCCTTAAAATTATTGACAGCTATTTATGATGAGCAGAGAATATAGTGGCCGCAGAATGAAGTGGTTTCATGGAAAACAACACTGTAGGATGTTCACACTTCCTGAGTATACATCAGATGTGTCGGTAGCAATCCCAGAGGCCAGGGTAGGTCTGAGTGAGGTCACAGGGTTCAATCAGATGACTGCCCCCCATGCAACATCCAAACCAGATGTCTGATGAATTGCTCCTCATAAAAAGATTCCTCTTTTACAATGGACCGTGACATTGCCAAATAGGGTAAGACGGTTACGTGTGCATTCTCCAGTCGTTAAAATTCTTACGGGTAATTCAGAATGGCCTCTAGACGTGTTTGTAGAGGAAACCGGAAAAAGAATTTCACAATGATCTTGTCTGGAGATGCTGCGTGCATTAGTGGCTGCTGAGGACTGTAGTGATTCATCGTCATCTGAACCAAAAAGTGATGCTTTTCAAAGGGGAAAGATGCAGGTTATGATGAGTGTCGTTCATCCTGGCTATTGACAGTTTGCAGGAAAACAAGGACAGCTGTTTGCTTTCACAGATGATAACACGGGTGTTGTTCCAGATATTCCACATCTGGCATAACTAATTTTATCTCTTGTTTTCCAGCGTATAACATAATCTGCATCATTTTATAGTACATTACCACACACAGACTGAGTTATTTTGGACAACCTTTTGCCTCTCACATGACGGATTTGCCTCTGAAATGTAAAAGAGGGCTGACACTGTCACAACATGAGTGCACCACGGTATCCTACAAGAAAAACGAACGCTTGCATATCCCCGTTTCCTGGCTGACTTCAACTCCTCTCTCCTTTGTCTTGCTCTTATCTTCTGTTTGTAAAGAGGGAATGTTTCTGTTCCTGTCATCCCTGAAATAAACCAGTCAGATGAAGCAGTATTGTTTCAACTCTTCCAAAGAAAAAGTTACCCATGGGCTCTGATAAGTTGGAAAAAACAGATGTTGTCACAAAACTCTGCTCACACTCGGAGCCGGCATCTGTCCTGTGTGATACACTGCATTGAAAGGGCTGTCTGGCACTCAGTGAGCATGTGCTGAAAGGTGATGGACAGGACCTGGCCTCCTCCTGCTCCTATCGCTCCCTGTTAGCGCTTCTTCTCCTCCTGTGCTTCCCACTAATCACAACTGACAAGGGATACACAGGACTCTGTCTACACATACGGATAGAAAGAGTCGTGCTGACCTGTCTCGGCCCGGGGGGAATGAGCACAGGTAGAGAGAGAGGATTGAGGGGGGCCCGAGATTTCAAGAGCATCAGCATCACAGGGCGTGAGTCCTGCTAAATATGCAGCTTCTGTGTTTTGAAGGCTGCGGGATTTCCATAAATTAATGAAGGACGTGGGGCTGCAGAAGCAAGAGCGTGGCATGACAGAGCAGAATGCTCCGTCTTTATTTAGATGCTGTGAGAAGACCAGATGTTGAAAAGCTTCAGGGTTAAATGTACAGTATGAAAGTGTGTGTGAGAAAGAATGAGAAAAAGCAGTTACAGAATCAGGAGAGAAACATACTGACTACATGCACAACGTGTACGTCAGCTCCCTGTGTGCATCAGCAAACATGAGCCAGTTTACATGTGCTTGCTTGGCTGTAAATGTCTATCTCTGTGAGAGGCTGCGGTCCCATGGGAGCGTTACATCTGAGGGTGTACACGTGTGCCTCCTGAGCTGTGAAAACATGAACTTATGCACAGAAGATCTGCACGCTGAAACATTGATGGAGAAACTTCCACTGTGATGCAGCACATCATCGGTGACACTTAGAGTGGGATGAATATTTCAATGACCTGGTGGAGTGGGGACATTAGGAGTCAAGCTGCAGGGCAACCACAGGACTATTCTGAGTATTTAAATGCAAAACAGTTTGCATGAAGAGGTCCTGTTTCTGTCGTCAGCATGGAGACACTTCTCCCTGGTTAAAGATGAATTCATGTTGAGGCAGTTTAAAGGCCTCAGGTTTGCTTGGCCATCTAAACCACAACTCAGAATGCAGCCATTGAGATATAACATGGGCTGAAATATTTGTTTCTAAATACACCACATTTTATTCCATTCAGATAGGAACTTACTGGGAAAATATAGGTCAGTCCCATTTGTGCAAAAACAGGTTTTGATGCTGTTAAAATAAAAAAAAAACATACGATTTTCTTTTTACTAAAATATGAGAGAGAAAAATATCTAAACACAAGCGAGATCTAATGAGGACAACGCCTGCTGGGCTGAGTGAGGAAATATTTGGGGGTTTCACTGCTGCTGCAATATCTTGCTCCATGCGTGGAATCGGAACTCGGGGGTGTGAATGAGCTGAGACTCGCGGCTGGTTGGAGAGCTGGTGACAAACACTCCGGATTTGCCCCTCAAAACACCGAGCAATAACCTGACGGACACTCGCTCAAACTGCCTAAATTCCTCAGCAGCGTTTATCCTCGAAAGTAACCTTTGGAGCTTCAACTGCTTCAGGACGGACCGGGAAGTGGCCAAACAATGGACATATAAAGCGCGTTTTATCGCTGAATGTTCACAGAACGGGACTGATGTTTTGCAAAGACTGCTGCTCCTGCTGCTGCTGCACGGACCGGGCCGTGGAGGAGCCACAAAGCGACGAGGAGGACAGCAGAAGTCAAAGAGACGGCGCTCCACAAAGGAGGGCAAAGCGGGACGACTGTGTGCAGCAGAGAAGCAGTGCCCTAGATCTGAATAACATCTGAGTTACTCTGTCATTCAGGCTCCTTTTATGCTGTCTCGGGCAGCACTTTCTCAATCCGCACCTGGAAAAACAAAGGGAACGCGTTCAGTGGCAGCACATCTCCATGCGTAAACGGAGATGCACCGGCGCGTATTCGCTGTACTTTTTCACAATGCGTACAATAAATGATGTTTGTTTTGTCACTAACTCATCTCCTGTCCCATGACCACACTGGTATAGATGCATTATAGACTTCCTCATACTTCATATCTGCCATGAGTGATGGCGATGCCTGCAGAATCTGACAGTACCGGTGCGCAGAGCAGCACTCATGAAAACAGCCTCAGCGCACCGGATCGCAATGGTTATGTGAAAACATGTGTCATCCCACTGTGCCGTGACCGAGATTACGAGTCGTGGGTGAGGCTAATGTTCACAAAAATATGGAGTTCCCAGAGACTCCGGAGTGCGGTGTGCGTGGGGTCGCTTTCGGTTTTTCTCGCTCTGTTGGTCAAATGTGCAGACTGGAGAGTTGAAGCCAGCAGCAGCAGCAGCAGCGCTGACAACAGACTCTCGCATTCATCGTCTCCCCTTCACTTGGTCTCAGGCTGCGCGGCGGAGCTGTTGCAAACTTGCTGGAGTGTTGTTTCCCCATTGTTCACCCTCGTATGTGCCTTCTTTTGGGTCGGTGTCTACTTAATCCGCTGCGGAGTGCTAATCCAGACCGCCCTCTCCCTCCTAACCTTGTGCCACCTGGGCGAAGCAGCTGCGTGGACTCTCCTGGACGGGACAGATGAGCAGCTGTTTTCATTCACGACAGCAGCCGTGGTCGTGCTCATCTGCGTGGCCACCGGCGCACTCATGGTAGCGCGGCTGAACCAGGGCATATCTGTGATCGTGTTCATAAGTCTGGTCAGGACTATCTCACTCTTCTCGCTGCACAAAGTACGGGCCACTTGGAGACCGTACGTAGCGTACCTGGTTGGAGTGCTGGGCATCCTGCTGGCGAGGTATGCTGACAAGCTCCTTCCCAACCAAGGGAGACACAAGGAGGGCTGCACCCCCGTGACTGGAGCCAGGGAAGAGATCCCTGTATTTAAAAGGCGCAGGAGGTCCAGTTCTGTGATAGCCTCAGACATGGCACACAGTCAGCCCAACAGTAAGTCACATCGCCGGACCTCTCTGCCATGCATCCAGAGGGACCAGGTAAGAAGTTTCTGTCCCGTTAAACTTTTCTGTTTCTGGCTTGTTTTCTGCTTTCACTGACGAGATTTTGGGTTTGAGATGAAGGGGGGAGAGAGGAGGGAGAAGTAAAATGGCACTAAGATAAGCACTGTTGGCCTTTTATAGTGTGACTGATTAGAATGTGCAGCTTTTGTATTATTATTATCATGACAGTTAAGGCCTATAGTGAGGGTTACAGAGGATTTTTTTATATCATGCATATCATGTGTGCAGTGTAACACACAACAACAACAACAACAACAACAATGATAATTCTAGCAATGATGCATAATTATTATTATTGCTATTAAAGCATACAGTGAGGATCACATAGGTTTTATACATATCATGTATGTCATGTAGTGTAACACACAGCAACAACAGCAGTGATTATAATAGCAATAATGCATTAGTATTGTTGTTGCTGTTGTTGTTGTGTTTACATGTCATGCTCCTGTTGTACATTGCAGTGTGGATTTTACAGTTTGTTTTCATGTGATTTGATCCTTGCTCTGCTGTTATTGCTCTGATCTGCACAGATCATCCCTGGACTCACATCTTCTTATATCCTGTAGGGATATTTGCAGCCATTCGCAGGCAAACATGGAATTCTATCTATTTACAATATTTTTTTCTACTCTACCTTCTCAGTAACGTTGTTATACAATATTTCATTATAGTTATTTATTTAATATAACAAATTATGTGCTATTTTCAGCTAAAATGTTTTTAAATGTTCCTCTTTTTTCTCTGAAATCGTCGCCCCTGTCAGAGCGAGATGCTGTTTCATGCATGTAGATATATACAGTGTAGTTGCAAGTGTAGCTCTCCTCTGTCATTTGAAAATAAAGTACCAAATTTGGTATTTTGTTGCTGAAGGGATGCTATTTTAGAAGCAGCTTTCAAGTGCTGATGAGAAAGGGAAGCTGAGGACATGATGTCAATGATTCATCCCGTCCGTAATTATTTATGTCATACATTCTCCCCAGATGATCTCTGAGCCATTGCCACGAAACTGACAAATACATTATTATCTATCTGTCCTGGACTTTATTACCACTTACTCCTCATCTCTTATCAGAGCTTTCTGTCCTTAAACTCCAGGAATGTAGCAGCTCTGGCTTTCAAACCTCCTCTGATACTGATACACATGCATACCTGTGTTTAAAGGAGACTTGGGAGGAGGAGGGGGGGGGCTTCATTCAAGCACTCATATCAGCTCCTCAGCCCTCCTTATGGAAAATCAATGAGCATGCTGAGCGTGTGAATGGGAAACAGACTTCTGGATTGATCAAAGCTCTCGTTGTGACCTGTGAGTGCGGTTAGGCAGGGAGATGAGAGGCTGCACTGTCGGCCCAGCCACTTGAAAGATGCCCTCAGCTCTCAGGCTAGTTAGCGTTGTAGTGTGCTTGTTTGTTTTTCTTTGTGGTGACACTCACACACTCATGCACATACACAAATTGGATATGAAAAGACTCTTAGATATTTTAGAGTTTACACTTTATTCTGATTTAGGTTTGATTTCTCGACTGAAGCTCATTCAAGTGTCAGTCATTATTTGATATGCAGGAGGTGGTTTGCTGCAGTGATGGAGTCAGGATGTGTCTTTGTTTATAAATGAGTGATGAGCTGGAGGATGGCTGCCCTTGTAGTTTACACTGAATAGTTACTGTATGGATGTAAACAGGTAGTGCACTGATGGCAGATTATTTTACACTTTCGTAATGTTGAAAATGATGGACAGAAAAAAAATATGTTTTCAGTCTTACAAATAATTGACTAAGAAGGAGAAACAATGCATTTAGTAAACATTGTTGCTAGTATTTATTTTTTGGTGTTATCAAGGGTGTAGGTTTTGTTTTAACATTAGGGCGGGCACATATGAAATGAGGAGTTTGGGGGTCCTCTTCCAGAAAATGTGAGTGTCGAACTTGGGCTGCACAATTAATCAAATATTAATCAGGAACATGATTTTATCTTCCCATAATTTAATGAGAATGATCGACTGCAATATTGACGTTTAAAATTCAAGCTCTGCTCATACAATACAACACCGCATATCAAATCAAGCGCTTCCTATTCTCAGCCAGCCTCCATTTTGAAGAGGTGTCATGCCACTACACACGCACCATGCAGCAGCAGCTTGTGTAAAGTTTTCTGCAAGTGCAAACGAAAATCATCCGCTCATCAAACATCTTCCAAACACATCCTTTGTTTGGAAGTTTTTCAGATTTAGACAACAAATCATATGCAAAGAGCACATGAGGCTTGTGTCTGCTCCGCAAACATACACAACTGAATTGTTTATCTATGAAATTAATGAGAAGACACCACAACATGCAGTACGATGAATGCATGAAGGCCGAGAAGAATAACGCGGCAAACGTTACCTCACTGAATTTCAGTCCTTGTCAAGAGCAAACTCAGAAATCCACAACAGTGACTCTGCAGAGCACTTCACAGCATTGTGACCGCTGTAAAAAATAAATAAATGCATACATAACTAATTACATAAATAAACAATTAAAAAATACAGCAGTGGATACGTTTCCATCCAGCTCTCAGAGACAGACTGAAATAAACAGTGCAGTCACATTACATTTGGCCAGAGATGTGTGTCCAATAAACACTGTTTTCATTTGGTTTCTGTAGTGACACTTATTTTTATTTATTTTATATTTGGGGTACAATTTTATTTATATTTTGTTTTTAGCAGATGCACTGAATTCAGGTGAAGGAGGGCCTTATTTTAAGTCTTACTTTGATGCAAAGATTTGTTAAGTAGCAGGAATGTAGCACAACATGTAAGTGAAAGCAGCGCTCTAATGTGAACATTTTTTAAAAATCAATGAATTGTCGTAAATAACCAAAATAACAATACTGATCAAAATAATCGTGATTATCATTTTGGCCACAATTGTGTAGCTATACATCAAACAAGTAATTTCCTGCATCCTGGAGAGTTTTTATGAACCAATTTGTGCATTTTTGCATTAAATTATGGTGCAAATATTTTTAATTTTGTCATGTGGGGACACATGCATGTGTTTTAAATATTAAGGGGGGCGTGTCCTTTGCATCCACCCAAAAACTACTCTCATGAATGAAGGCTTTAAAAACAAGAGGGAAACTGCATATAGGTGAAAGAGAAAGAAAAACAATTCACGTTTTTTCCACTTCACATAGTCGTGTTTCCATTATGGCAGGAGTGAACTTAGGCATTAGGGAGCCAGGCTGTACTTTTCACATCTTTGCCATTTGGATCAGACTGCTTTACTTTAAGGGATTCAAGATGGAGTTACTCAAAGAACAATAAAAACAGCCCTAAAATCAAGACATTAGTCGTAAACAGCTCACATAGATGCAACTACTGCAATTAACGCGTTTTTGTCTGCTTCACATTTTTTTGTTTCTTGCGGCTGTGTCCCAATAAAAGCTGAGCGGGATGGAACTACCAGACAAACAAAGTAGACAACACCAAACAAAGATGCAAAACATCTCTGCCTCTCCTTGCTCTAGCTGTCACCACAGCCCTGCTGGAGCCCTCTGCTGAGAGATTATCTCTATTACATGTCTCTGTTTGTGGGACAGAAAGACTGTGAGACTGTCTTGATAGTGTGTGAAAGTCAAGTTGAGAATATTATAGATAGTCTTGAGTGTTTTACCATTTGCTCTCATCTCTGGCGGTGGTGCTAAGCAGTTGAGCAGTCACGGCCTGCCTGTAATTGAGACACACATGGCGTACATATGCTGTCTTAACCGTGTCTTGTCTGTGTGGTCTGTAATGTGTAAACAAGCCCACGCTGACCCACACTAGTCATCACCTTGCTCACACGGGGCTCTGGCCTCCCTAAGGGGGGTCAGACGCATGTTTGGGGGCCACAATGCAACCACCACATGGTGACGGGAACAGCAGAGATGTCGGGCAGCATAAAGCGTCTAACTGACTCTGCCTGGAGGACAAAACAAAGGCTAACTGCGTGGCAGTGACACGGCCGTCATTTTCCAGGTACTGCTCCTCGGTTAGATGACCTCAAGAGGCTGAATGACGCTTCAACAGTTCTGCGCTTTGCTGTGTTCAATAGAGTTATGATGTTTTAAAGACGTTGTAAGAGCGTCATGACACGGGGTAGATCTGCACTTTGTTGACGTGACAATGTTTGCATAAGTGCTGTGCGTCTGGAGTGTTTGAAGAATAGTGTGAGGTTGGAGGAAGGATTACAGTAGATACTTAACTTTGTTTTTCTCAGGAAGTGTCTCCCACAGACCTCAGAGTCTTATATAAAGGCCCTTCAGATTGATAGTCACTGTGTAAAAACAGTTTATTCAGAAAATAAATAGAGCAAAGAGGAATCCCTCTGTCTCTTCTTCCTTGCAAGCCTTAAAGCTGCCATGTTGCCCTCCGCTGCTCTGCCAAAGCCATGCTCCGAGGCACAACTGTAGATTTAATAAACAGCCATTTTCCCTCCTTTTGATTACAAATTGGCTGCCAGCGTCTATCAGTTCACTAAGTAGATGCATTTTGCAACGCTGGGGTCGTCCTTCCCATCATGAGCGTAATAAAAGAAAGTCATTATCAGCCGATCTGATAGCGGTTAGCGGGGGCCTCTGCGGGAACCTTCTTGGGTTAATACAAAATGACAGGCCGATCGTCTGTGTTTCAGCTCGGGTTATTGAACTGGAGGAAGAGGTGTGGACTTGTGGTGTGGATCGCTTTTCACAGCGTGTAAGGAAATTTGAGTCCAAGGTTCTCCTGCTGCAGACATCAGCACTGTCAAAGACTGTCATTCCTCATTCAGAGGGAAGCAGTCTGCCAGCGCTGCCAGCACACATCCAATGTTTTAACTACCTGAGCTGCAAAAGTTTTCAGCTGATTAGCCAGGAAGGGGAGTGGACATAAGCGAAACACTTCTGCTTTTTAAATAAGTCTCTTCAGGAGAGAGCCACTCCCCTCTGTGAGCGACTCCACCCCTCTCCACAGC